AAGAAATTGAATAAAGGTGAAAAGCATTTAAAGATTACTTGTGATAATGCTGGTGGACAAAATAAAAATAATGTAACAATTTGATTTTATTTATATTTGGTAATTTGTGGTTATTGTAAAAGTATTGAATTGAATTTTATGAATCCAGGACATACTAAATTCAAATGTGATGGTAGCTTTGGTTTAATAAAAAAACTCTATAGGAAAACAAGAGTAGATTGTGTGGGTCATGTGGTTGATGTAGTGAAAAGGTCCAGTCCAGTTGGATTAAATAAAGCTCAATGTTATAAAGGTGGAAAAGGTTTTCAATACTTAGATATTAAAACAATTTTGGGGAATTTATTTTAAGAAATTACCAAGCATCCATAAATATCAATATTTTCTTTTTGAAGCATCTAACCTTGGTATGGTCAAAATTCAGGAAATTGCTAATGGACCTTTTGTTGAATTCAATTTATTGAAAACCAAGACAACAGATATTTTTGAAGAAATTAGAGCTTTATCTATTTTAGTGTTAACACTACCTCCTTTGGATTACAAAAGACAAGAATACCTTTATAATAATATTTGCCCATTTGTGAAAGATGAATACAAAGATGTTACTTGTCCAAGACCATTCTATATTGGTAACAAATAAAAATATTCAGAATAAAATCACCTCCATGACTTTATCACTCATTAATTTGTCCTTTGCATCATTAAGTTTAATAAGTTAATCTTTTGACAAATGTTGTTAGCTTTTTCCACTTTTAAAGTAAAAAGTACTAAAATAATTTATATACTTAATATTCCCTCATAAAAAGTATACAAGTATATTAAAAAAATAAAGTAATAAAAAGAAAGTCATGACAAACATTATAAGTGAACTCCAAGAAAGTAATAAAAACCTATTAGAAGAAAACAAAGTATTAAAAAAACAATTAACTGATAAAGAACAAGAATTCAAAATAAGAATTTACAATGCTGTTCATACTGTTTATAGAAAATGAAAGACCAGAAATTGCTGGCACTTTAATGACCTTACAACAACATTTTTGGGCTTGAGATGAGTGAGCAAAAATTCAAAAAGAAAATGGAGTTGAGAAAATTAATTTTAGTAATGAATTCACATTGTTAAAGGTTTTACAGAGTGAAACTGACATAGTTCAGAGTCTTTTAGTTTTATTTATGATAAAAATAAAGAATTAGAAGAAAAGAATGCTATTTTAGAACTAAAGGTGGTAGTTATTTTCCTTTTAAGGATTTTTGCTTTTTATTAGGTAATAATGCATTATCATGTTAAATTTAATTTATAACAAATTTTATCAAATAACTAAAACAAAATAACTTTTAAATTATTCCATAGCATATTTAAAATTGAATTTTCTTTTCTTATTCATTTATTAAAAAAGTTAAATATGCTGGTTATCCAAGAAAATCTTTAAATAAATCTTATTTTGCTTCAGGATGTATAATAAAAAATAAATGATTATATGGGGCATACTGTAACAAAACAACATTGGTATTTTACCAAGAATTTCAGGGTTCAAAATTTAGTAATGTGATTATTAAAATCTTCCATTTGTCATCCTCTTAATATTAGGTGATAGATATATAGAATTACCCCTATATAAAAAGATTATCTATGAAATTTACCAAGAAGAAAGAAAAATAATAAATGTTAGAAAAAGAAAGCATCATGTTATGACATTATGGGCCAATTGGACTTGTAATGTCCAATTAAGTTTCTTTTAGCCCTTTTGTCAACCCATGTCCAAAAGGCTAATTAGCCTAGGCCAATTGACTGACAACACTGATGGATTAGGATATATATGGAAAATGTACGGAATTAGGAAAATAATAATAATAATAATAATAATAAGGTGCTACTAATTATTAATATCAATATCCGTCCGTCCGCAACAACAAATTAAAGTCATGCGCATAATAAAATTAGTTGTGAATGTATTACAAATCATTCATTACTATTGTATCTATATACTACGCCTCTAACTGCTATTATTTATAAATACTCCCACGTGAGTATATAAAAACTTTTTCAAAAATTAATTTTTCCTCAAGTTCTTCATTTTTACAACTAATTCAACAAACTTATAACAATATAACACTATAAATTATCTGTGAAAGGCAATTAATTAATGTTTAAAAACTTTGGATCAGGTACAGGTGGAAATTTCGGCAATCAACAACAAACCACACCTTTATTTGGAGGAAATACATCAACACCACCATTTGGTATGATATTTTTATTTTTATTTGTCTAGACGTTTAGAATTTATTCTTTTCCTTTTATCATCCAAGTCAACTATTATATCATTATACGAATTTTTTTGAATGATCTATTAATCCTATAAAAATTAATCAAATGTTGATTAGGAGGAGGTTTTGGAGCTGGAAGCTCTACAAACACAACAACAAGTGGTTTTGGTGGTGGTGGGGGGTTTGGTACACCCTCTGCAAATACATCAACAGGGTTCACTTTTGGAGGCGGTAACTAAACATTCTAATATCTTAAAAAAAATACTTTTACGCGTTTTTTCTATCTACACATATGTTCAATAACTTATTTATATATACGTATACACTTTTTAATCTTTAATTTCTTTAAAATAATAACAAAAGGCGCAACAACACCTTCAACAAATCTATTTGGTGGCTCAACAGGTTTCGGTACCGGGAATGGTAAGTAAAATAATAATAACATTTTGATTATATATCTTTGATATTTTTGATAATGAATTAAATCATAATAATGGCCATAAATATTTTTATGATTTTCGAATATAGCATTAGCTACAACATCGTCAAATCCCCTTTCATATCTTCCAGCAAGTGGCACTTCAAATCCACCGTATACTACTACCAACGAAAGGGATCCTGCTGGACCATTGAATGTTTTTCATAGCATTAGTGCTATGCAAAGCTATAAAAATTATTCATTTGAGGTAGGAATAAATTTTTTTTAATAAAAATCATATATCCTACATATAATAACTTTGCTAATTATATATATATATATATATATATATATATATATATTATTATTATAGGAATTAAGGCTTGCTGATTATAATATAGGCCGAAAATTTGATGCTCAACGAAGTGGTTTTGGTATAGGTCCTGGAACTACATCTGCATTTGGTGCTCCAACAACTCAACCAACTGTTTTTGGTGGTTCTAGTTCAACAACAGGATTTGGTGGTTCAACAACAGGATTTGGTGCACAAAATACTGGTTCATCGACTTTTAGCTTTGGTGCTCAACCAGCTGCTCCTAGTACACTTGGTGGATTTGGTACCGGAAACACTCCTTCTACAAATAATTTATTTGGTAGCAATAAATTTGGAGTTGGAACGGGTACTACTGGGTTTGGAGCCACAACCCCCACAACTGGATTTGGTGCTACTGCTCCTGCTGGTGGTACAACTGGATTTGGAGCTTCTAGTAATTAAAAAATAATTTTATTAGTTTATTATTATTTATTGACAATGATCTTTTTATTTATATAATTATTTTGATTTTGATATAAACAGGCAGTAATCCTTTTGGCAGTAGTTTAACAACAAATACGTCACAAGCGCCGTTATTTGGTGCAAAGCCTCAAACATCTACTACCACGTCTGCATTTGGATCAACAAATACTGGATTTGGCTCGTTGAATACTCAAAATCAAAATACATCTTCATTTGGATTTGGTGGTGCGTTGGTTTAACTTAATTTATACATTTACATTTTTCTTTTTTTTCTTTTCAATTTTTAACTTTAAAAAATAATTAAATAGGAAGTAAACCAGCTGCTACTGGTGGTTTTGGTACTAGTACTACTACACCTACTTTTGGCGCAGGATTTGGTGCTTGTAAGTTATATACATGCACATATTTAATATTTATGTATTAAATGAAGTCTTATTTATTGATTTGTATACTTTAATTCTTTTTATTAATAAAGCTGCAGCTACTAACACAACAGTTACCACTCCATCTACTTTAAATTTGGGATTTGGAGCTGCTACAAAACCAACTACTGCATTTGGATTTAATAGTAAATTTTTTAAATATTAAATATTCCTTTTATAACACAAAAAAGAATATACTAATTATAATCACTTTTTTTTTCTAATAAATAGCAAGTGGTACTAATAGTTTAGGAGCTTTTGGAAATACCCCTGCTACTAATACGAGCACTTCATTATTTAGCAATATCAATCCAACTGCTACTTCAACTGCAACTAATACTACTGGCTTTCCTTCATTAAAATTACCTAGTACGACTAATACTAGTTTTGGAATTGGATCTGGTTTGAGTACAATGCAATTTATGGATTATAGTGTTGTCATTAGCCTTAAGACCAAATGTTTTTGATTTGGATTTGAGGCATGCTGCAACAAAACCAGACAAAGTGAACATTTGTATTACTAAAGATTTCAAGGGTTCTAAATTTAGTCATCATCAATACAATGCAATTATTATTATGATTTAATGATTTTATAATGTCTGTTTGTTATCATTGTTTTTCATATATAAAAGTAATCAATATTGTAAGAAGAGGAATGTTCCTTTAGAATACTTTTTCTTTACATATTTAACAAATAAAGAGTGCTTACAATTTAGACAAGGCTGCTAACATTCTTGACTGAATGAGGGAAGCTGTCGATAACATGCTGGAACCTTCGGATGAGTTTAATAAAGGCTACCAAAAACCAAACAGCACTACTTGGAATAAAGTGCTAACCAGTACGACTAATACTAGTTTTGGAATTGGATCTGGTTTGAGTACAATGCAATCCCAACAACCTACTAATACTAATAGTTTAGGTTTAAGCGGCTTTGGATTTGGCTCCGGTACTAGCGGTAGTGTTGGTAATACCAGCTCTTTGTTTGGTCAACAAAATCAAATCCCTAATCTTCAAACAACTGTTGATAAATCACCTTATGGCGACATTTCTATTTATCAAGGCACCACTAATGCTGCTACTGGCGGTGGTGCTTCATCACTTAGTTCTATATCCTCATCATCAATAAGACCTAATTTAACTCCGACGCCTATTTCACCAACTGTTAAAAAAAAGGGGCCAACAACAATTCATCATAAAATAACACCTAAACCTGGTTCAAAAATGCAATTACCCGGGTTTAAAGCTCCCCCATTTAAAGGTTTTTCAGCACCAGAACCAAAATCTTTTCACTTTTTTGATCATAATATCAATCAAGATGATGTTTTAAGTCCTGAAGCATTTGTAAAACGTGGCTCCAGAACATTGGTTGCTAATAAAGTTATCAATCCTATAGAATTAACTAACAACAGCAAGTCTGATTCAAATAACAAACATGACGAAAACATTCTCATCATTCCTCAAACAAATGGTAATACAACAAAAACCACAAAAACAGCAAATACCACGACATCGACATCAGCGCTGGCATCTACAAATACAACAACGCCAATAAAAAAATCGGTAACATTTGATGCAAAACTTGAATCATCAGCAAAAATCACACCTCATTCCTTTAGCCCTACACATTTCAGACAAGTAACACCTCCACCTGCTAGTAAATTAATTCCTGAAAATCAAGACACGCCTTTAAATACACCCTCCCGATCACCTTTGCTAAAGCCTCTACAACCATCTTTGCAGCAATCTACATCTTCAGGGAAAAATAAGAATGATAATTATGACGGATACTATAGTTTTCCACCATTATCTGTTCTTAAAAGAATGTCAACAGACGAATTGAAAAATGTTGAAAATTTTTCAGTTGGACGACATGATTTTGGTAAAGTTGAATATGACGAACCAGTTGATCTTAGTGAAATCAAGCCAATTGAGAATATCTATGGTAAAACTATTGTCGTTGAAGATGGTAGTTGTACAGTTTACGGTGGAGATGCTGATAAACCTCCAGTGGGAAAAGGCCTTAATAAAAGAGCTGTTATTACATTGAATAAATGTTGGGCACTAGATAAAGCTACTCGTCAGCCAATCAAAGATCCAATAGATCCTCGATACCAACAGCGTATTCTCAGGTTGAAGGATCGACCTAACACAAAATTCATTACTTACGTGCCAGAAACAGGTAGCTGGGTTTTTGAAGTACAACATTTTACTACTTATGGCCTTGAGTATGAATCTGATGATGATTTGTATGAAGTAAAGCCTTACCAACCAATAAAAAGAAAATCAAATTATATGGAGGGGATGGAACATAATCAAATAAACAAAAAAGAAAAAAAAGGATTATATCAACTTGATCAACTTGCAGAAAATTTAGGAGACATTGAATCAATGAGAAATATTATATTTTCAACAGTAGATAATGAAATTTCAGACGATGCTGACTTAGATAGTGAAATGATTGTTGATTATGAGCAAGATAGCTGTAATACGAGTACTCAAAAAGTAATTTTAGATTATTAAATAAGTTTATATCTATCTATCTTTGTATATTTATTTTTTTTATCGTTGTTTCTTAACATAATTTATCAATAAATTCATTTTTATATTAATTTATTTTGCTTTATAATTTTATATTAATGGTGTATATAATGAACTTCTTTTTTTATAATAATAATATTAATAATAAAATTATTTCTAAAGATTCATTTGGCAGGTGAAAGTCCATTAATTCCTCATTTTCCATTCACGCAAATTGGATGCCTGCCTTATCAACAGTCAACTATTTATCAAAAAAATCTTTATAAAAAAAATGCTCGTTCATTATTGTCTCATTCTTTCAAAGTTAGTTGGGGTCCCAATTTTACATTAGTAAAAATAACAGATAAGCGAGCCAAAACAACAGTACTGTAAGTATATTTGTATAAACAAATAATCAATTAATTAAAAAAAGATATTAATAATGATTAAAAATTGTTAACAAATATCATTCATTATAAAATTATTATTATTATTTTTTAGAGATATTCCATCATCGTCGTCATCAGCTTTCAGCTTTTTAGACAAAAAGAAAAAGAATCACGAAAGTTCATCATCAAATAATAAATTACTATTTCAACCTATGAATATTGTTAGGATTAATGAAGTTTTATTATTCCCTAGAGATGAAATGGTTTGTGCTATTTAAAAATATAACAATCAAAAGTTCATTAATTAAATGGTTTAAATACTTTAATTGTTTAAATTGTCTTGTTATTTATGTATTTAGAATGAGGCAAAAGAAATACACATCAAACAATTAGAACATTTATTTAACAATTCAACATTTGAACAAGCGGATAACGTACCTTGCGTTGATTTAAATCCTTCAATCAAATTTTCCAGTTTTTATGACATTTTATCATCATCAAGTTATAATGATAGTAACAACAAAAATATCACATCTGTTCGTCATGAGATTCAAACATGGAATCTTGCACATATTTTATGGGATATTGATGATGACAATTTACCCGACAAATTACTTTTAAAAACAAAAAGACAATTTTTATCAAAATGGTTTGAGCAAGCGGCAGATCCATACGTGAAAAGAGATTTGGTTAATGAATTTCCCACCGATTGTTCTACAGCTGATGAATATTTCCGATATATATTCATTCTACTTTCTGGTCATCAACTTAAACAGGCTACTTTGAAAACAATAAAAATTAATTCTTTTCTTGCAACATTGTTATGTCAGGTTGGTGGCTCTCCACAATTTAGGAATTATATTGGTGAACAAATTAAAATTTGGAAAAAATTCGTAACAAAGACCGATTATGAAAATAACTCTTTGTTAAGGTTATTTTACTTGATGCAAGGTGCTTCGATACCAGAAAGTCTTCCAGATCATGTAAATTTGGGATGGGTTAGACTACTTGGAATGTTTTTTTGGTATGGCCTGTTAAATAATCAACCGTTTGAAGCGGCACTTGATCAATATGAAGAGGCACAACAAAATTCAATTGAATTCCAAAGCAAGATTATTCCTGAACCATTAGCGTGGTATATTCAAGATGATGACAATGACTCTTGGTCATCCTTTAAAGATTCAAGTCGAGTATTTGATGCACAATATCATCTATTAAAAATAAATATTGATAGTACTTATACTCTAGAAGAAAGTCTACTTCCAAGATCATTTACACGTTCACCATTGGATTATCGTTTAACCTGGATGTTTCATGCTATGTTAGCACGTATTAAACGTAAACGAGACTTTGTTGAAGGGAGTTACATGTCAGATGCAATGACTTTAAATTTTGTTTCTCAAATAGAACAATTAGGTATTTGGAAATGGGCATTATATATTTCGTTATTTTTGAATGAACCACATACGTAAGTAAAAAAATAAAAATAAAAAAGAATAAATCTTTAAATTTTTCTAATGATTATTAATTATTTTTTATAATTAAAAACCAAATTAGTCGTGAAAAGGCTATAAAAGATATATTAAATCGTAATATTCCAAAAACATCAATGGATCAACTATCAAGTATTGAACAATTTGCAATTGAACATTTAAAAATTCCAAAAGAATGGTTTGCAGAAGCCAAGGTCAGTAAAAGAATAAACAAGCAAGTTTATATATGTATTAAAATTATAAATATTATTAAAATTTTCACAATAATTTTGTCTTTTTTTTTGTGTTAGGCCTTGTATTCCAAATATAATAATGATAAAATAAAAGAAGTCATGTATTTACTTGAGGCCAACAATAATTTGGATGCTCATACAATAGTTTTAACTGAATTAGCACCTTCTTATTTTTTAGAAAAAAATTATAAAGAACTTGGAATATTGCTTGAAAAAATTAAAAAGGTTGATTTACATGATTCGATCTGGGAAAATGGTTGCAAGGTTTTTATTAATTATACATTTAATTATAATAATAATAAAATAATGATGATTATAAATAATAATGACTTTGGGTGTTAACTCTTTTTATATTGTATAGTTTTATTTAAATTTTTTAAACAACATTCTTCCATATCTAACCGAGATGACGGAAATAAAAGATTTGGGTGAAATTGAAAAACGAGAAATTGATAAAGATATAGTAGAAAAAGTTAAAAAAGATTGTCAAGAGTTTTTAAATGACCTGAACACATTTTTTAATTTTTTAAGTAACAATAAAAAGTACGAAATTAATATGTTTGCAATTAATTACATGAAAAAACTGGTCGGAGATTTTTACGATAATATTAGGGAATATCATAGATATTCTTTTAAATATTAGTTGATGTTTTATATTAGACGGTGAAATTTAGAGCTTTTTGTTTTCATTCATATACATATAATAAAGTTTTACGTCAAAAATAATAAGATAATATTTATTATATTTATTCATTTTCTCCATTTTCCTCATCTTCCTTTAACAATTTATCTGCTCCCCTTTCCCTATCATTAATATTATGACCTGTAGTAATCAAATCCATATCAATTCTACCAGTTTCTGGATCCCAAGCTGCCGTTTTCATTGCTTCTCTCAATAATCTTTCTGCTTCTCTAACATCATGAATATTCACATTTTTTGAAAGTCTATATATATCCATAAAAAAAGGAATTAAATGGGAATTAAATTTTTTTTTAAAAGAAAAAATATGTATAATGAAAATAAATGATTTTAACCTCATACGAGCATGAGCTTCTGCCAATCTAATCATGGATTCCAATTGCCTGGGGGTTGCTGTAACTATTTTTTCCGATGAAAGAGAATCTTGTCCTAATTTACGTAATTCCACATAAATCTTAGCTAATTCAGTTTGGGTTGCATCATCTTCAATTTTTGGATCAAAATGTGTTTTTGCATATGAAATGTATTTTGATAAAGTTTCGAACGGCTATTAGTAGAAATAGAGTAATCATGTATTAATGAGTAATTTAATTATTTTAAAATTAAATATAAATACTTGAATGAATTTTTTAATTACCACTATTCCAGGTCTAGCAGCATTATCATTATTTGTCGTATATAATGATATTAAATGCTTTGCTAATTGTGTATCAGAGACGTCATCTATTTTATCCAATATCAAATAAATCAGATCAAATCTATTTACAAGAACAAGAACAAAGATGGTGAAAATTAACTATTTAAATATCATAATCTAGCAAACGCCATAGTCATTCTACAGAGCAAAAAAAAAATATGTAATGTTGCAAACCTAGACATCAATGTCGGTGGCAACTTAATATTTTGGACAATAGACAGTTTAGGATCGTATTTTGAATTGACAGGATTTGCTGAAGCAAGAATAGATGCTCTAGCATTTAACGAGGTAATAATACCAGCTTTGGCTACAGAAAGGGTTTGTTGTTCCTATTTATATATATTAGAAAAATATTTTTTTAATAAATTAAAAATCAAATGAACATATATATATATTGTTATTAAAAAAAAATTTTTTATAACAAACCATGACTTCATGAAGTACTGCACGAGTTCCTTCCGACATTTTATCAAATTCATCGATGCAACAAATACCTCCATCACTTAAAACCAAAGCCCCACTATTAAAGATTTACATTTTAGGTGAATATATATATAATGTAATTTTTATTCATTTGAAAATAATTTTCACCATATTTGTTGTATTTATTGTTAAGCTAAATATTTACCTTTCAAGAACCATTTGTTTTGAATCTGGATCTCTTGTGACGTAAGCAGTTAAGCCGACAGCTGACGAACCTTTTCCTGAAGTATAAACTCCACGAGGTGACATTTTATGAACATACTAATAAGTATTTGAAACAATTTTATTCATCGCAGAATAATTATTAATTAAGAAACGTCATAGAATACAAATAATGAATATTAAATTTCCTTACTATATATTACATTTACCTGTAATAATTGTGATTTGCCAGTTCCTGGATCACCGACTAATAAGATATTAATATCACCTCTAAAACGAGGGGATCCTGATTTTTCAAACTTTTTATGCACACCTCCAAATAACTGTAGGAGTATGCCTTTTTTAACATCATCTAATCCGAAAATGCTTGGAGCTAAAACACAAAAATTCATTAATATTATTCTGAGTATACTTATAATAAACAATTTTTGATTTTCAAGTAACCTAAAGAATTAGCTAAAGTTTCATAAGCAAAGCGTTGTTTTGATAATCGCTCGAAATCATTAATTTCTACATCTGTAAATTTAGGTTTTGTTCTTTGTTCATCATCTTTTTTAGTTCCAACTTCTTTTAAATCAAAAGGATTTACTTGATTTGTAGTATCAGGTCTTTTACAGCTAATATTATCGGTCTCATCATAACTATTTGTTGAATGAATAAATATTTAGTCACTATAAATATATAATTAATCCAATTTTGAACATTACCCACTTTGGTGCATATTCATTTTCATTTAATAATACCGAATCCGAACTTAATCTTGATTTATCAGTTTTACTGATATGTATAGCATCAACAAAGGTTTTAAATAAAGATTTGATGGTACGTTTATTTGGATTCAAACGAATTGGAAAGGATCGATAAATTCCAGTGATTACCACTCTATCAATAATAACAATGATAACAAATAAAATACATCACTCATTATACGATTAGTTAATTCAATCAATTTAA